TATGGCCCAAAAAATCCCCACTTTTCATGTATATTTCCCCTACTCCCACTCCCCCAATGGCCATGCATATTTATTCTCCCCCCTCCCCCCAATCCACTTAAATTTTGGCCCCCTCATAAAAAATTCCTAACTCCATCCTGAGCTGCTTGGCATGCTTGGAAATTAGAATGAAAGAAAAACTGAGAAAATGTTTTGGCATGCTTGGAAATTAGAATGAAAGAAAAACTGAGAAAATGTTTTGTCATATCAACCAGATTTTTGGTGGTTATTAGGAGCCAAGGTGAAGCCCCTATTTTGTGGTCCAAAATTGAGAGAGAATTCTACCTGCCCTACCCTTGTTTTGGTGTCCAAAATTGAGAGAGAGAGACAATGAGAATAAACCATGCTCCACCCTTGTATTGTCATTCAAAACTGAGAGAAAGATGCAATCCACCCATGTTTTGTTGTCCAAAAGTGAGAGAGACATGAGATCCAAAACTAAGAGAGAAGGAAGAGAGGCTACGGACTAAGAGAGGTGGGATATAGAAGGAAGTTTTAGGAAGTGTTTTGGGTGGTTCCCAGCTATATCACAATTTATAATCGTGATTGATTGTGATTCTACTTACTTGGGGGTGTGAAAGGGAGAGAGGGCCATGCTGATTTGGCAACTTGAAAGACTTAGGAAATGAATAAGGGAGAAATGCTAGAAATGCAAGGTTGGGGAAGGGAAGAAAGGAGAGGCCATCTAACGTGGCTAGTTTTGTTTTAATATATAGTAATAGATTTGATTAAAGATTAAATCCGGTTTTACTTGTAAACTAGCGGGGACCCATACAATGCATGGGATTTATTAAGAGAAAGCTAAATAATAAAAAGAGTCATACACTAAAATACCCCTTATAGTTTCATGGACTTACTAAAATCTACCATATAGCTAGCATTTTACTAAAACACCACTTATAATTTGCAATGGATTTAATCAATTAGGTGAATGGAAAATGACATTGTTGACCCTAATGTCCATTTAAATAAATTTAATCAAAAGAAAATAAAAATAGAAATACCATTTTTACCCTTAATAAGACATGGGCAACCACTCTATTGGCTACATTTGTTCAATTTTGTTTTTTATGCAAAAAAAGTGTTAGGAGTATTTTTTGAATAAAAAAATCATGGGCCTAAGGGCAAAACAAACACTCTTTAATGAAATCGTGGGCCTAAGGCCTTGACCTCGATTATGAAATTAACCCCCATCCTCGATCCTTGACAGGGATGGGTTCCCCGTGGGGACCCGAATCCCCAAAATGTTTTGAGATAATAGTATTTTTAAAATAAATTTATTTAAAATAAATAAAAATTTTAAATTATAAATAATGTTTTAAATATATTTTGATATATATATATAATATAAATAATGTAATAGTATATTTAATATAAATAACATTTAATATATATATATATATATATATATATATAATCGGGGCAGGGACCTCAATCCCCACCCCGACCCCGACCTTGACCAGTGATTCCTATTAATCCTCGTTCCCGCCCCTGCCCCCGCCCCGCCAAAACAATCCCCATCCCCAACCCCATTGGGTTGCGGAAGTTAGGTTCCCATCGGGGATGGGGAAAATTGCCATCCCTAAAAGTGTGTTCTAATTAACATTAACAAATGGCCCTAATAGAAACACATAAGAGTATACAATTGTTTTATATTTTTAACTTTTTAAATAATTAATAATTATTCATATTTTATATATTACTTTTAATAAAATTTTTATAGTACAAAATAACAACAATTAATTTCAGTTAGGTTTATTTATCAAACTAATGAAACCAACCAACCCAATTAACTCGACCCGAGTTGGTCAATTTTCTAGTATTTTAGGTTGGCTTTGGTTCAAAAATTTCTCAATTC